ATTCATATAAACATGTACAATACATATTTAGTGTGATATCCAAGTCTGGCTTGAGTACAACGCAAATAACGCAAAAACACACACAGCTAAATGTTCTGAGATAAAGATAAATGAATCGCGCTTCCAACTGGAACTTGCGCGATGTCTGAGCCAGCAGCAGCAGATTTATCAGCGCTCTAAGTGGGGGTCGGGTCACAAAATAATAAAATATAATTCCACGAATGTATTATATACATAGCTTGCATTCAATACGCAACGGTACGTGGCGCCTTTAGCCAGTTCTAACGACATATAATAAACAAATGAAATGAATAATGGCCTCGCAAGCATTAAAGAACAAAAATTTGCATCTGCGACGCTCCTAAGTATGCAATAAAATTAATTTGTGACCTGACGCACACGGCGTATGCTCAATGATTGATTCAATAAAATCACCAATACTCAAATTCAAATGCATAACTAATCACCGATTTATTTGTTGAAGAAATGCCTGATGAGAGTTTCTTTTATTTTCCTTCCTCTGCCGCTGGCGCTGCCTTAATTGTGTCTAAATAAATGACTTGTTTATGTTTAATGTGAGATCGGACGACTCGTTTCTTGTGTCTCTTGTGCTAAAAGCGGTTTGGAATCCAGACTTTGACTCTCTTTGTCTGACTATTAATACCCCTCGGTACCTGAACATATATCCAGATCTTCGAAATGATATAATTATTCGAGCTATAAATGATCTTTGGCGGGACTAGCGGAATGTTAGCAAATAAGTTGCTCGTATTTCTTGTAGTCCGAATACGAATTTACGTACGCAGTTCCGACCTGACTGACTGCCTTCTTACTCGTCTCATTGTTGTTTTGTCGCAATGAATTTGATTGAATTAACGCTTTGTATCTCCTAGGGGCCTGCCTGCTCTCGCGGCTTACACAGATAAAGTACAGAACAAAACGAAACGAAACGAAACGTTTCCTCTTATAATAATATAATGAAAACTCAAGTGATTTGATTTAGTTGTATGGCAGATCCACAGCAGCAGCAGGCAGGCAGCAAGCAGGCAAGCAACTAAAAATAAATCAACCGAAAGCAAAGTCGACTCTTGTCTTGTCATGCCGAGAGTTTCACTTGATGAAACCTGTAGTCGGGTAGTCCGTGGCTCTATTGATTGTTGTTTCTATCACTAAGTCGGAAGTCAGAGGCGCCATGATGTGGCGCGTCGGCAAGCGGCAAACATATATCTAACACCATATCAATGGCAGCGGCGGCGTCTTCTTTGACCCGTCCTCATCCTCAGCATCCTTGAGCCAGCACAGCCAAGACATTGGCTTTGCGTTTGAATGGCCATTTGGCAGCGGCATTTAGCGTTTTATTAGCATTTCAATAAATTCACAGCAGCCGCTGGAGCAACGACTACTCGTATACTCTCTCGACTCTCTCTCTCTCTCTCTCTCTCTCGCGAGCCTCGCTATGAAATGGCGTGCAAAAAATAAAACACGAAATGAAAATGCTAAAGCCAATTGCAGGTATGGGGCAGGGGCAAGCAGCAATCAAATTGAGTTATAAATATGTAAAAATATAAACTTTATTCCGTTTTGCTTGGTGCTAATTGTGGGCCAGCGGGATGGGATGGCATTTACTCTGCCAACAAGTCAATTACACTTTGGATTGCTTGGACTCGAATTTGGGCAGTCTCATGACTTTTATTCCAGCCCCCTCAATCGGAGTTTAGACATCAAATGTCGCTGCCCAAGGCGTCAATCGAATTAGCAGGTGCTGGCTAAATAGTTCGCCAAATATCAAGTCAGGGGGGGTAATGGATACCGAAAAGACATTTCACAAGACTCGATACAAAACTTATGGCTCTCTGAGATACGATACTGAATGATTCAAAAGAGTTTATTATGTTTGAAACAAACTCAATGGAATTACATAATTGAATTAAATTAAATATTAATGCAATATCCCATTAACATTCTACAGCTAAATTGTGGTTGAAATGATTCATAAAGATTACAAAAACAAACGGAGGGCAGAAAAGAAAGTCTGCTTGGTTCCCCAATCAATGGAATATTCCATTTGTTATTGATCACATACTCGTATTTAGCATCTTTCGAGACGCAGCTAAACGGATCTAAAGTCGCCAGCACATGCCTCCGCGTCTCCGCCCCCGCCTACATCCCCGCACACCACTCTCCGTGGATTAGTAAAAAAATAAACTATGCTAAACAGATTTTAGCTCGGAGCAGGGAGGTCCACTCCAACCCGAGCCTCATCTTCTTCTGCATCTGTATCCACACATCTAGATTGTTATTTATAAGTATCTTGATTTATCTACATGTTACTGTGTGTGTGTGTGTGTGTGTACGGTATTTGTATACCCTTGCTGAGAGTATTACGATTATGAGCGAAAGCAAAGAAGGTCCGACCTACGACCTAATATTAGCGGTATTATCTGACTGGAAACCCTGCACAGCTCATTCAATTTGCAGCACATCATGGGAAAGAACTGTGAGAAATAGCATTGCTGTTGCTCAAGATGTTTCCTCCGTTACGGTTCCGATAAATTCAATCAAAATATAATAAGAACATGGATGGATCTGCAAGCGTATCAAAAGCTGTGGCCCCTGAAGCTGGCCTTATTTTCTTAGCTTTTACGTACACAACTGCCGAAGAGGGGCGGGTGGTGGTGGTGTATATGTGCGGTTAGAGCGGGAGCGGGAGCGGTAGCTGCTGCTGTTGTTGCTGTTGCGGTGCTTGAAACTCAACCAACCGGTTGACTTTTATGTCTTTGCTGATTTTTGCCGTAGCTTTGTTTTTGTTTGCTGCCTGGCTGATGCTGCTTTTGAGCGTCTTTTTGGGCTATGGGACAGACACGTTTTACTTTTATTTTTGTTTTTGTTTTTGTTTTTGTTTTTTTAGCGCTTGGCACAGGCTGTGACGACGAGCCGACATCTCATCCAATCGAAGCGATGAGGCGGCGCTCGCGCAGACAGGAGGGCAACCGACAAGAAACGACACAACAAAAGAGCACAGCCGCTAACCAAGTCAGCAAACTGGCCAAGATCATAGGAATCCGGACTCAATGTCTTGTCTGGGCCGTAATTTAGATGAGCGCCAAAAGCAAACATCAATCGCATCGAAAGAGATGAAGATGAAGATGTGCAAGCGCCCCCTCTGCGCAATTCGAGACAAACACCAAACAATTAATAGAAAAAACAACATTCACGCCGCATTCTTTGGATCACTGACTGAATGGAGTAATGGGATATGCGTTTAGTTTTCAGCGGCAGATTCTTTGCTGATCTGACAAGATATTTTGGCTACAAAAACAAAAACAAACATGGCTGGCTCTCCCCTGCATTTCTGTCTGTTTTGTGTGTCTGGTTTTACAGCTATTCGATTACTAATACTATTATTACTCGTGTACACCTGCTCTGGGAGTCTAGAGGCAGTGAAATCGGCTTTGCTTCGAGTCGTGTTTCCACATGTTTTATTTTACTGAGATTATTCGGAATTTGCGTAATTTCCAGTTCTTCACAAGCACAATGGATGGATATATTTGCATGCACTTATTATATTTGTGCTTTATTAAACATTACGGTATCTTTCCACACTCATACATTTGTATGCATGAGTATATATTTATGTGTTATCATTGCGCGGGGCGTATTTGCTTATTTCTCAGGCATTTCGACTAATACATTTAGTTTTAGTTAGTTTTAGCTCTCAAATTGCTGCCTTTCAAATTAGTCACATACACACACATACACTGTTATACAAAGCAGGCACTTACACTTGCACGAATTGCCGTTACTTTGATTCTTGCACTTTTTTCGTTCTATTTGGTTTGTGTCGTCGCTGCTGCTGGTGTTTCACGCTTCGTATACTCGACGCGAATGTTAACTAAGATCGCGTTTTATTTTGTTCTCTTTCGGTTTCTCCGTGTCTGTTTTGCTGTGATTTTTCTGTATTATTTTCCCCGATCCGATCCGCTGGAGCCGACAATATCTAAATACGCTGGAGTGTCCACACCAACTGGCTGATCGCATCGTATCGTGCACTCTAAAGCCGTTCGTACTCTCTCTCTGAATCTCTCTCTCTCTCTCTTCCCCATACGAATCTGTGCTCAATGAAGCTTGGCTTTGGAGTTGCCACTGCGTTCCCAGTTGAATATATGAAATAAAATTGGTCAATCATCCCCCTGAATGCCAACGAAATCGTTTTGTGATTTAGTTTAAACCTACAATTCAATTTACATTAATTACTCAGCGCCGAAAAAATTGTTGGCTTGATTCGTAACGTCTTTTCAGCCTGCGAATGGGGTGACAACTCTGCTGAGCTGTTGCCGCACTCACTCACTCTCGTTCTCTTTCTCTCTGTTTTTCTCGTGGCGGGGAATTGATGGATCCCAGCCAGGGCAGCGTTTGTTAAGAAAAATGTAAATTAAATTATAACTAGTGGAGGCAACAATGGGCTTAAGTAAAACCCGGCCCCTGCGCTTACTGCAACGTCGGCTCTCACGCAATTAGCCTTCCCCCGTTCCCGCCAGCGTCAGCCGGCTTAAATTACACACACCACCCCCCTTACACCCAGCATACACTCTCACTCTCCCAGTGCTTATGTGTTTTGTTTTTTCCTTGGCGCGGGTGTCGCTGTAATGATACGGTACCATACGAGCGCGTGTGTGTGACGGGAACAGAATCCATCAACGCCGCCTGTTTTCAACTTAACATCATTTAATGGAGTTGTTGTTCCTTCGCGAGTCTGCCTCGCAGATTGAATTAATACGCTGATTTATGTAAATTACACTAATTCGTATTACTCAATTTGTTATTCAATATTCATGGCCTGCAGACCTCAGAGATCTGTCCCAAGAATGGTTTTCTATTTTTCCAAATGGTTTTTGTTTTTGTTATCAGCAGACATACTCGCATCGAGACCATAACATCTACAATAGCACGTGATTAATATTTTTCTGGCTGAGGAAATTCCCGTTTATTTGTAGCGCATCTAATTTGCATAACAACGTACTTTAATCGCGGGTTGCTTTTTTTTTTAACATGTTGAAACTTGTGTTTGTACTTTCTTTCGATGCATTTTAATTTGAGCATTAATACATAAATAAGTACACTGAAACTCATATTTTGGAACGAATTAATCCACACCATAAGCACGTGAGAGCTTCTCCAACACTTGCGGATTCTTTTTGGGCCAATTCTTGATCTTATTTAGTATAGACGACACCACTGTAAGGAAGCGTAAAAACAGATATTAGAGAGATTTTTAAAGAGTATATATAAATAAGCAAGTTACTTTTCTTCTCCTCGTTGGACATGAGCATGGCCAAAATGGGAAACTCGTCATTTTTGCTAATCTCCAGCAGGACAGACGCCGTTGTGGGCTCTTTATCCGGCACATAGTAATCCTGAACGGTGCACAATAAATCATTGAATGTATCCGAATCGAAACCGGCGCCCAGAATTTTGCACAGATTTTGTATTTGTATGGATTTTAGGTACTGATATTTCTGCGTGGCAGAAAGCTCCTTCCAGGTTATGTAAAACTGGGCTGTACCCGACGGGGCTGGCGGCAGTGCTCGCTGTAATATTAAAAGTTGAGTTTCACATTTGTATACGACAATTCTACTCAACTTACCTCAAGGGGAGGGGTACTGGTACCCGGCGTCTTTGAGGCAGATTCGATCTTGGGTTTATTTTCTTGGGCTTTGCTTGAAGTTTCTGATGAATTTGGAGAGTCGTCAATCGGTGAATCTTTCTTAGTATTTTTAGACAATTTTGAATCTTTGCTTGTGTTTTGGGATGGCTTTACTTCAGTCACTGGTTCTTTGTTTTGATTTTTTGATATTTTTGTATTGTTAGCAGACTGTTTAGCTTCCTTCACCGCATCTGTAACGGTCTGTTTGGTATCATTGCTTTGAACTTGGGCTGTCTTAGTAGGAGCAGCGGATGGCTTAACTTCATCTGAAGTATATTTTGTTAGCGGTTCAGAATCAAGAGATTCCACTATGGGCTTTGCTGGGGGTGTTTTTGGGCTTGTCTTCAAGTCCCCTTTTTTAATCTCTGTGTATGGACCGCAGTAACTGTTAAAGATTTTGTCAATATCATCGTCTGAGATGCGTAATGGTTGTGCCTCATCAGTGGAGGGTCTGGGCGATACAATATCTGTAATGGTCACTCGTTGCATCGACTTCTTTGAGCGTTTGTAAACTGGCTTCTCGATCGGCAATATGTCAATTAGGTCAGGGCGGTCTGCGCAAAAATTAGGACCGTTCTTGGTGGCTGAAAATAATTATTTGACAACTATTAATAAACACAATTTGAACACTTGATTTTCTTTCAGTTCGCCTTACCATTTTTACGTAGGCGGTCGTTAATGCGAACCAAACTTTGTTTGGCCTCTATGTTTTTGGGATCAATGGCCAGCACGGTTGTGCAATCCTTGAGCGCTTCCATATTGTTGCCCAGGGACTCATTCGCCTGCATCCGTCTGTAGTAGGCCTTCACGCAGACCTTGTCCAGGCCAATGGCAGCCTCACAATCGTCCACGCAGCTGTCAAAGCTGTCCCAATAAAATCGATTATTTACTGGAACATTCCAAACCACATGACGCTCAACTTACCGCTCCTGCTTGAGGTAGCACAGGGCTCTGTTAATAAAGTAGACAGGATCGTATGGATAGGCCTCCACGGCTTCTGTATAAGCCTCGATAGCTCTGTCGTACTCTCCCTGCTTAACATAGTTATTGCCGCGGTCTTTTATGTCGTTGGCCTTCTTGTGCTGGCGCGCCACCGGATCCCCGGGCGGATCTTTCTTCTCCGTAGGAGTATCGGACGCCGAACTACTGCCGCTCTGCTGATCAGTTTCTCCTGTTTTCTGCACATGACTGCGCACAGGCATTTTCTGCAACAGACAACAACAATATTAATGCGAATTCGTGCGAGTGTGAGTCTGCACATTTAAGCTTACAATATTGGCGGCAGCGGCGGGCGCCTTCTTCAGTTCCATCTCTTGGTTCTTTATGTCCTTCTCCCACGAGTATAGATCTTTCAACGAACTTTGTAACTCCTTGGCATTCCGACGCACCTGGCGTTGCATTTCAAATGCATTTTCTGCGCTCATTTTGATATTTTTTACTTTATTTTTCTAATTGTTAAACGAATTCTTGTTATTTTTTGCATTTGTCCAGTGTGACAGCGGATTAATCGAGAAAATATTCGGTGTGACCCTCAAAAATATACCTCAACTTGCCAATACCTCTGTATAACAGTCGTACAGTATTATAACAGTTATACGGACTTTTTAACAGGGTGTGTATCTTTCTCAACATGGGAGTTTTTATCGCAACAAACTGTCTTTATTTTATTCCCACTTATCAGAAACTTACTTTGAAAACATCCCAAGAAGAGGAAGACCTGAAAACTAGTTAATATTTTTGAGAATTAAATTGTATATTTTTAAAATGAGATTTTTTGAGTGTTTTGCGATATATCTTATCGATATTTCCGCGGTCACACTGATTTCAACACCATCAGTCAGCTGTTACCCATTTGTTGCTTTTTCAAAATAATTTGTTTAATTTCATTTTTTCGGTCTAAAACATGAATTAAGTTAAAGAGCTTGGTCCTTGAACGCTTGCAATGCTGAGGCTTACCTGCCTGCGACTCCGGGTCAAGCCGGGCTGTGCGCGTAAGTAAGGAAATTTTTGATTTTGTCGTTATATAAAATAATACTATGTTTATTGCGCAGTTTGGCTGATGAAGGGGTGAGGACGAAGGCGAGAAAACCGGAGAATCACTACCAGGTTCTGAACGTAAAGAGCGACTGCAGTACCCAAGACATACGCAACGCATTCGTGGAGCTCTCCAAACAGGTAGGAGTCTCGCTGGACCGGCCAAAGTCAAATGGTTTTCTGTATTGTTCGGATATTTTCAGTACCATCCCGATGTAAAGACAAACGCCGCAAGCGCGGAGAGAACGGCACGTTTCGTGCGGATATCCGAGGCATATCGCACACTGATTAAGCCGCAGACACGCCGCGACTATGACGACAGTCTGCTCTGGCTGCCAACTGGTTCCGCTCGCAGTCCAGTTGGCGAGCACAGTGAACCCTCGCAGTCGTGGAATGTCAAACCTAACTACGATCCTAGTCCTGGGCCCTACTACGGCATAAGGGGCCTGAAGCGTGTGTCCAACTGGCAGGTCGCCCTGGTTCTGATCGCCTTTGGAGTCGTCGGTGCGTTCTTTGGCTTCACTTCCGTCAAGTAAGTTCTTAGAGCTCTCAGATTGATATTTATGTATAATTGTTGCCACTTGTTGCGCGATAAAGGCACTCATTCGATCTGCATCGTCAAGTGCAAGACGAAGTCTCGGCAGAAGCCACCAACCACCATGCCGCTGTTGTGGCCGAAGCACAGAAACATGGCAACGAGGAGCAGATGCGCCGATTGGCGGACCGCCTGGCCCGCAACCCCTTCAATCAGTCGGCCAAGTAGCAGAAATCGGGCTTATGTATATGTAGTGTAGCTAAATTAAACGACAGAGTAGTTCCACGCACTCGTTGTTTGGTTTTGGTTCAAGGCAAATGCTCTGCTCTGCTCTGCTCTTGTTGAATTATTTTGCAAACCTCAAACCATTTCGTCGGCCTTCGTCGAACAGAGTTGCAAACTGTGCAAACAAGCACGTCGCCTACTTAAGCGCTCCCGCTGGGCTGATCCAAGGCATATCCAAGTTAAGCATCGACAAGGAACCTCAACCTCTCAACCTCAACATGAAGCTCGTCTCGATTACCTTTGTTGTGTGCCTGGTGGTTCTCTGCTGCCTGGATGATGCACAGGCCCAGAGCACCGACTCAACTTCGGCGCCATCTACGAGCACCAGCAACAGCGGAAACGCCAAGAACGTGGTTGTCTCCAATTTGAGGTACACGGCTGTCAGGCGCATTCGTGTGGGCAGCTCCACCTCCAGCTCTGTGACCACTCGCAGTGCCTCAGTGCGCAACAGGAAGCTGAGGGCCAAGCGTGCTCAGGCCAAGCGCTCCAAGGGAAAGGCTCTCAACGGTCGGAGGAAAAGGGGCTAAGCTAAGGACTCGGGAACGGACCCCCATCTGTTGTTCCATATTCTGACCTTGTTATTTATTCAGCTAAAAGTCAAATGTTTTATTTTTGAGCTCATTCTAAACACACAAAAACACTTAAGTTTATCGACGGGCGAATTAAATTAGATAAATACGTAAATTGTACTGTTTGTCTATGCTATTTTGAATCGAAAGTAGAGACACTTGAGATGGAACTACCTGGAACCCGCCACCGAACTACAAACTAAAGAATCACATAGTACAAAATCCGAACTGCGATGAGGGAGAACCAGCCGCTGCTCTCCTCTACAGCTTGGTTATTGGCGCCGCCGACTGCTTGCCGTCTAGATTCAGCTCTTTGGCCATTATCCTCATGCCGACGTGCGGATGGGCCGGCTTGAAGACAACCTTTCCATCTGGCTGGTACTCGGAGAACTGCATGCTGAATACCTCGTGGAAGCCCAACTTCTCCATCACCCGGGCCGAGTAGTGGCTCGAGCAGAGCACATGGTAAACGTTTATTCCATTCTCCCGCATGTACTCGTACGCCCGCTCCGTCAGGCGTCCGGCAATGCCCAGGCCGCGGTAGTTGGTGTCCACGGAAAGAATTTTGCCATCCAGGATCAGCTCCTCGTTGGGATAGTGATCGAATATGTTAAATTTCTCCTCAACGTGATCCATCAGGGAGAGGATCTTCTTGAATTTGGGATGATCACACGAATCGGCTGCCTTTTCAGGTACTTCATCCGGAGACTGTAAAGAATTATCCATTACTCAAGACGTTCTCTGGCAAAAGCAACTTCCTCCACTTACCGGACGTCGCATCAAGCCATTCAGGAATATACCAATGATGTCGCCACTTTTGTTGACTGCCTTGTAGGAGCAGTTGTCGCTTAAGGGCTTCAGCGAGTACTTCTCCAGCTCCTTGCACTCCCCAAGATCTAGGAAAGTATTCAGCGGCTCGTCCTAAAGCGTGGAAAATAAACAGGCAAGTTGCTAATCAAGACACATCCGAGACGAAACTATCTAAATTAAACTATCTTTGGAAGACATCAAACGACTGAACAAATTACGGCCATAATTGTGTGACACGATAATGGATTTGGCCAGCAATTTAAATGATTTGTGCACGCATTCGATGCCTTAGAATATGCCATTAATAGAGTCAGCTCGTTGATGGGAAACGAAACTGCAACTGCAACTGCAAGTGCATTTGCATAAAATCATTTAGTGGCCGCTTTAGTCGGGTTGCAGGTGGCGCGTGGAATGAATAATTTGCATATTTAATTACATAAATATGGGCTTTGGTCATCGAATAAGCCTTTGGCCATTCATTGGGTGGAGTGGAGTTGAAAGTTTTGGTCAGAACTGAGACCTATCGCGCTGTAGGCGGTAGGCAGCATTCTCATTGACCGGCGCATGGCATTTTCGAACGAACTGAAGGGGGAATGGAACCTGAATTAGTCAAGATCAACTCTGGCATATTGATTTCAGCGACGACAAAGTCGTGATGCATAACCAGCTGAAAGTTAGCCCTGACATGGATCATGTCCGCACCGTGACACCCGAATATTGAGATCCGAAACCGACAATCCCTCCCGTTTCGCGTTCGCGTTCCCGTTCGCATTCCCATTCCCATTCCCAAAGGACAGGCCAAGTGAATGTTCTTAATGGGTGCAACATTTGCTGTTTAGTGTGCGAATTTCGAGTTGAATTAAATCTAATTAAGACGATTGATCGGACGGACGGACAGGCACGTGTTCGTGCTAATTGAAATTCTTTGGAAATGCTATTTAAATTTGGTTTTTGGATTCGTTCTCTCAACGCTCAGCCAAGTACTTGGTCGTCTCGGATCGGATCGGATCGGATCGCATTGGACATAATGGGTGAAATAAATTCACAAATCCCAGATCTGTGAACCAGGTGTTCAGCTTGATTGGCTTCCATGATATGCAAACTGAATTCCCCCGACGACTACGAGTACACCATCGAGTCAACAGTAATTGTGGGAAATAGTCTCTTACCTTGAAGAAAAACGTCTTGAGCATGGCGATCACAGCATCGGCGTCTTCGGGCTGCACCAGCTCGATGGTGTAGGGGCAGTCATCCTTGGTGGCGGTTGTCGTCGACGCCTTCCCAGACACATTAAGCACGTCCTCCATTTTCTGTGTCAGACGAGCGATGGGATACAAGTCGTTCAGCTGCAAGTGTGTGTGAGAAGCAGACAAAACAAATCGTTTAGATCCGTTGTGGGCTGTGGGTGGGTGTGGGCACGGTTCGGTTCGGCTGGGGACGTGGAAAAATAGAAAACAAACGACTGGGGAGACCGACCGTATAGAAAACATGATAATTTATGGCTCTTAGATGAAAGGCATTTTAATTTGTTGTGTGTATATTTTTGCAGCACATGTGTGGCGACCGCCGCACCGCCGGCGTTCGCTTTTCACTTGCATTTCCATTTTCAATATTCCATGGTCGAAATATATCAAAGTCTGTTTTCATGTACGCCTCTGACAATGCCCCATAAATTATAGACCAAAACTAAGGGTTCCCGTTTAGCCGTCTGCACACGAAATCTGAATATTTTAATAGAGTGGGAAAACAGCAGAGGACTTTGTACACATAATATAGTGGGATAAGATATAATTCTAAACGATAAGATCTACACACATAGATAGGTGTTATATGGTGTCTGATATAAGATACAAAAGCACGCTTCAAAATCCAAGATCAAAGAATAACACAAAGATATTTTCACTTCAGCAAAGAACTACGTTTAAATCGCTTCCCATAAACACTTATTTTCCCGCTATGAAAACTGATCATAAAACTTGATTGGCAAATATTTCGAGAATTTGCACTTGCCGAATTCAAGAGTATTGGCCCACCAGGAAGGAGGAGGAATGCTCTCGCACGTATCGTGCGTTTTGTTTACACTCACTTAACCATTGGCCGCATCCGCATATCTATTATTGGGTGCACCTCTTAGTATTTATAGACCTTCTGCCCCCAAGACTGTGGCAGCCCACGCAGATGGACTGGGGTCAGGGTCGGGTCGGGTCAGGTGCTGGACGCTGTATGCTGTATGCTCTGGTTTCCACACTTACCCCACATCTGGAATCGAGCATGATGCGCTGGTTGGGATTGGTTTGCATCAACGACTGATCGGGCATATTCTGGACCTCCATGATGTACGGGTTGGGTTGGGTTGTGTTGGGGGTCTGGTGCAAGGTCTGGGGTTTGTTTTGCTTTTATGATTTGTTTATTGCAAAATAACGATAATTTCGCTTGATTTTTGTTTTGTTGTTTGTTCCTTGTTGCTGTTGTTGTTGTTGTGGAATTGGGAAAATTTATAGCGAAATTTTCCCTTGTTCTGCTTTTTGCTGTGTTCTTTTGAGTTTTGCTTTTTGTTTTATTGCTTGGCGCGCGCTTTTTTGCGACGGTTTTGTTTATTTATTCCGCAGTCGGAGCTTTATTTATATTTGTTTCTGTTTGGTTTTTAATTTTACTTTGCTTTGTTAAACAGTAGGGTAAGCAGACACCGCCGATATGCACGGACCGACGCACACGCGCTGGATAAACGTAAACGATGAATGAAATTCAATATATGCCGTTGACAGTTGCAAAATGAAGTTGTTCAGGGAGCACACGGGCACACGGGATCTGGTGTTGTATCCTTGATTGCAGTTAAGTTGCCTGAGAGCCAGCAGTGACTGCCAAACAGTGGGTTTGCCTTGCACTTTATATAGTCGCCGATCCGATACGATCCCATCCGACACACAGCATGAACCGAGCCGAGCGGTACGTGAACTCAGGGCAACAGCAACTCGAACTCAAATCGTGGCGCGGAGCAGCGTCGCGAGAGGAAATATTAATCTTACAGAGCTCGACATCGACAATCGATGGTCGATCGGTCTGGTCTGTTCTGGCCTGATCCGTTCCGTTCCGTTGTTGCTGCCTTTCGCAACTGAGATGAGAGACCAGGCCAGAACGCTTTGCTGGGCTTCATATGGGATATGGCTATGGCAGTGCGCATTCGGTCGGCTCTCTCTCTCTCTCTCTCTCTCTCACTCTCTGTCACGTTTATGCGGCGAGAGTCACGGCACTTCTGCTCTCACTCTCTCCCTCTCCCACTCTTTTGGGCAAAGAAAGCAGAAAGCAGGCCAAGCCTGAGACAGGTAGGGAGGAGCGAGGAGCCAGGGAGCAAAGGAAAAGTGATTCGACGTGACCAGCTTTCTTGGCGAAAAATCGAGTTTTCATCTCAGTTTCCTGTATTAAACTCGTACAAGATGGGTCTTTCCATGCCCTGCCCCCATGCCACTTCCGTTCCACCATTTGTTGGGTTTTGCTTGCGGCTTTTAGTGGATTTAGGAACTCGTTTATCGAACTTTTTTCTTGATTTATTGCGGTTTAATTTAGATAAGTTTCAAAATGCAATAAGTAACCCAACTGGTCCAGTAAATCTTGGGACTTTCAGTATTCTCTACCAAAGTGTAGATCAACATTATCGCCTCAGCAGAAGATCCAGATAATGAATTCGTTTCCATAAATCTTTATCTGTGACGTCTGATTGGGGTTAGTGTGAATGATTGGCTGTCGGCTGTCCAGCCGATGATCTCCTTCTCCTCCTCCTCCTCCTTCTCCATCTCCGCTGTTTGTTTACCTTCCGCTCTCGGCAGTCGCACGCCGCTGGCTCAATTAATATGCGACAAAGAAAGAAACACAAAGCTATTGTGGAGGGTCTCTCTCTCTACTCTCTGCCCCTCTGAAGTGTGGCTGTGTGGGTGGACATACTCTTCACATTCTCTCGGTTTAGTTTTGTTTTTTTTTTCGTTCATTGTTTAGTTTGGCGCGCGCTCTCCGGCCAATTATCACCCGAACTCTGCCGTCTGGCGCGCAAATACCATCCCATTGGAATATTCATATTATTCACTTAATTCATTCCGCGGCGCACTGGTTGGATTTCCATGCCCATGCCCATTCCCCCGCCACCTATCATTTTATTTATTCATAATTCAAGCGCAACCCCAAACTTTATTTTCAGTCTCCCCTTTCCAATTGTGGAATCAAATTAAGGAATATTCATTTCGTATTTTGTTTACGGACTTTACGGGTTGTTTACAGTCGCTCCAACAATTAGTGGGGGCAACAAAATGCAAA